ATAAAAAATGCTCCAAAATGGACAAAAATAGTGTCATTCGTTTGTGCTGTTATCGTTTTTAAGATGTCAATAATTGCCTTTTTAGACGATGACGTCATCAAACTCTTTCGAAAATGCACAGAACTGACTGAGAATGGTGTCTATCCTTTTGGCTTCGTTTATGTTGGCTTGTGCTGTCATCTGCAGGCGCGGCCCAGCCTATATTACTATGTAATGCAATGTGTTTACGTTGTTAATAAAGAACTGATATAGTCAAAGCATTTGTCATTATTTAATTAACACTACACTACAACACATCATGCTTTATGTTTTCTTTTACCACTGGGAGGCGCTAACCAATAAGTTTACCCGTTAAAATTTGAACATTTTCCCTCAAAGAACTAATTAAGCAGCTGCATTTTAACTTCAAATACTTATTTAGGTAGTTTTCTCTTTTAATTGTACCCTTACAGTATGGACCTTTGCATATTCTGAAGATCATCAACGTAAGTAATTCAATTTTATGTTTGAACAATTTTGCTAGCTTTTGTTTTTTTTGCTAGGCATTCTATGTGAAATACTGTACAGAATTCATTAAAACATTTTAAAGTCCAAAAATACAATGAATGCATTTCGTATAACTGTATACATTGCTTCAATTATAGTAATGACAAAATCCACAGAAATAAACTGAAAAAGTAAACACTTTATACATAATACATAAGACAATTCATTAGAGAATATTTAAAGAACTTGTACAAGTTTTAGAGCAGGTCAGATGCACACCAGAGCAATATTACAATTTTTTGAAACAGGTTTTGGACGAGTTCAGCTGTATATTGTGTGAAACATATTAAGATGAACCTTTCAATAAAATGGCATAAAAAACAACATTACTCCAGTTTACATAAGGTGATTTAATTTTATTTTTTTTACTAGATGCCAAAAAATCCAGGAGTGGCCACACATGCTGTTATTGCCATCCTCTCAACATCAAAAGAGGCTATATTAATAAATGGTGAAATTGCTAAACCTGCTGAACAAATCTGGACAGAACTCAGCCATCAACTTGATGAGAGAATGTCTGCCAAGGCACTGTATACCTTTGTAAAACAAAACAGGCACAACATCTGGACCATTTTGGGTCTGAGTGACACCAGTGCATCTGAAAAAGGTTAAGATGAGCCACCAGCCGATCAGCATAGTGACAGTGATGGCATACTTCAATCAGAGTAGACTTTTCAGCTGTTGGTGCCATTTGAGAAATGGGTAGAGTTCATGCCGGAGAGCGTCAACTATGCCAACAGAAAATACAACATATTAAAACCAGGTACTTGGACTCATGTCATGAAGGAAATATTATGGAAAAAGGCAAAACATACCTGTACCTTTGTATTTAAAAGGGCAAAGGTTTATCCCATGTCAAAAAGTAAATACATAGACATTCAAGACTACTGCAAGGAATGTGGAGGTAAGCTCCAGGCCCAATGTCTGAAAGAGCCACCAGTTCAAAGCCTGATGGTCTTCCAGTGTCTCCTTAAAAACATCCTTTCCTCGCTCCACACAGGGTGTGCAAAGCGTCCTCTGTCTGGAGCAGCGCGCAAGGATGTTGCTAGCGCACTTTGTGAAGGAAAGTCCGAACCTTATGTGTGGAGGGCACAGCAAGCAACAAAGCTAATGGATTTTGGGGAGCCAAACACAAATACACATTTGCAAAACCTTGTCACAGAGGTGTCACTCAACAATCTGTGTTGATGCAACTGGATCTGTAGTGAGAAAACTTGCACGTCCAAATAGTACATCTGGTCATATTTTTATCTATCAGGGAGTATTGAGAGACCAGATGAACTGCAGTGCCCCAGTAGTGAAAATGTTGTCAGAGCGCCATGATGTGAATGCCATCTCACACTGGCTGACAGAATGGATTCATGCTGGAGCACCTGTGCCAAAAGAGGTGGTATGTGATTTTTCCCTGGCCATTCTTGGTGCATTAGTGAGGTCTTTCACACCACACCCGGATTTCAAAACATACCTCAATGAATGTTTCAATATCATGACTGGCAACCCGGCAGCGAAACTCCCTCATTGTTACATCCGAGTGGATGTGGCACACTGCATCAAGCTTATCTGCCAGTGGGAGAGCCTCAGAAAGAAGGCCCACCGTGTCAAGGATTTCTTTGTGATTTTATTACCTTTGCAAGAGATCTTACAATCTTTGGAGCATGCAAGAGACCTCTTACGTGCCATTATGGTGGTGGCACTCAGTGAAGGAGAGGGCCATGATAAAGGACTTCCAGTCACCTCAGAGGGCTTCAAAACGTACCTAAAGGCCCAAATATCAGAAGAGACCAATGAGATACCACATGAAGAAAGTAGTCCTCATCCTGATCTTGAGCATCCAAGTGATCTTGACACAGACTTGAAGCAGTGGGTAGAAGATATCTATGAAGAGAGCCAATCCTTCGCAACAAGCAAAGGTGATCGTGATGACATTCACTTCCTCCCTGATATTATTCCCCACATAAAACGACTAGCAAGTAGTTTACCTCTCTGGAGTGCAGTACTGACTCCTACTTCCCTGGTTCAGGCATCACAGCCAGTTCTGCCTCAGTTGAAGTGGAGTTCAAAATATAAAACATGGGCTTTTCAAGCATGAAAAGTTGCCTCTTCGAGTGGACCGCTTCGTTGCTCGTCACCTTACCTTCATTGAAGGTAAAATGAGGATTTGTGCGTCAAAAAACACTGAAGAGGAGGAAACCACTAAAACAGCGTCAACAACTGCCGATGTCGAAGGCACTGGGAGGAAAAGAAAGTCAAAAGGTTGGTAATAAAAACACTCAGTTACATACAGTATACTATAATAATAAATCAGGGGTGGTTTTATCACAACTACCTTTTTGTTTCAATTTGAGCTATATGTTAAAGCAAATATTCTTGAGCAACTCATTACTTCAAGTGACAAAACCCAGAAAAATAGCACTGTTTGCTGTCATGGATTCCCACAGTTTAGTTTATTTATTTGTTTGAGCAGTTAACCTGCTCAAAGGGAGGGGGCTGAAACCAAAGGCTTATAAGTGCCCACCCCGACATAAAAATAATAACATTACATTTAACATTTACAAGGTAACAAATAATGAACAAAGGAACATAGGGCTATATCCCAGTATATCCCAGGGTAGCTGTGCTACCATTTGTATATGGGTTTTGAGTGTCTGGAAAATTCAATATAAAACTATGTTATCATTTCAATAACAGAAGAATGTAGATACCCAAAATCAAAACTCAAGAGTATCTAGAATATAGTGTTTCATTAGGGTATCTACATTTTTCTTGAGCAGTATTATTCTTAAGTTATGACAAGTACACTTTTTTAGGTAGATCTTCATACCTAATGAACGTTTACCTTCTGCAGACTCTGACTCAACTGCTGGCATCCTTGCTGATGAGGCTCTGGAAAATTGGAGGGGCCAAGGAGTTCCACCAAAAAAACGCAAGTGCCACTCTTATTTGGCCCCATGTCCTGAATGGATGAATGCCAATCAATCCACGAAGAAAATGGTTAAAATTGGGCTGCTGAAAAATGGTAACCATCATCAACCACTCAAGCTGGGAAACAAAACAGTATCTGTGTTAAATACTTGGATGCATTTTTGCAAAGTCTGAGCTGTGCATACTGTGACAGCATGTCCTTCCAGTATGCGGTCAACACCGAACCCTCAAACCCGTCATTCAAGCTGGCCAAATCCATTGCGACAGATGGTATTGGCAGGAATGCATATATCCAGAGAGCTGAGTTGCTGCCCACATTATTTCCAGATGTCAAGTTGCTGTCAGGTGCACTCCAGATTGATGCTCAGTGTCACATTTCCAGTGTAGTACAGAAAACAATGAGGAATATCACAAGCGTGTACTTCCATAAGAAATGTTCCTCCCAGCACTGCGTGCTCAGTGTGCAAACCTCAAGGGAAGTACCAATTGTCTATCCATCCTTCGATGTACAGCAGACTTCTGGTATGGCTTAACCTGAGATTGCAGTGCAGCAAGGACTTCACCTGCCCATATCTCCCTGTCTCAGGCCAGTCCATTTGCCACTACAGGGTCACCCTGGAGGCACCGAAAAGGAGTCATCTGCCCTATGTGAAGGGATGGTCACACACAGCTGCAGTCTAGGAGAAATTTGATGGGTTGATACTGACCGTATGAGTACTTCACAAACTCACCAACGAAAGAGTCTTCCTTGTCTGAATTTCCATCCAGCATGGTGCTTCAGGATAAGACCTTCACACTAAGGGCAGTCATAGCATTTAGAGGTGGAGAGTCAACGAATGCAAATGTGACTCCTACTGATGACTGCTGTCGTTGTGTCCTTAGGCAAGACACTTAACCCCACTTTGCCTGAAGCTCCCACTGAAAGATCTCAGCTCCTGTGGACTCAACACCTGCAAGAGGATCAGTGAGGGGTTGGTGCTCTGTGTACTGGGTGGCAAGAGGCCACCCCCCCCCGACCCAGAAATGGATTAAGGGGAAGAAAATGGATGGATGGAGTCAACGAAGGCCATGGGTCACTACGTCTGCTACTGCAGAAGGTCCCCAAGAGTCTGGGAGAAGTTTGATGACCTGAGGAGCGAAGTGAAAACTGTGGCAGAAAATAGACATGTGTGTCCACATGCAGTGCTTTACACACATGATCAGTAACCTTGTTTTTATGCTTTTATGCGAGTTGTCCTTTGGCACTTTAAGTTTGTTTGCAATTAGTTTGGCATATGTTCCATATGTTCTGGCAACAATAAACTATTCACAACAACAAACTATTTACAACAACAAACTACTTGAACATACATTTTGCTCTCCTCTCTTTCAGGCTAGCAAATCTTTCAATGACTCTCTGATTGAAATTGGTCATTTGACAGATTAGTCTCTTTTCCATTGAGAGCATGGCCAGGGCATTCAGCCTTTCCTGGGTCATGGTGTTTCTCAGAAAAGTTTTCACCCTTTTTAAGGTTGAGAAGCACCTCTCTGCTTCAGCTGTGGTCATAGGTGTGGTAATAAGGATCTTTAAAAGAGTGACCGTTTCTGAAAAAAACATCTTGAAGATTGTTCTCCATGAACAGCTGGAACAGGTCCACTGCACCACAACAGGCTCTGAACTCTGCTTTGCTGTAGATGAGACTGAGCTCTGTCTTGAGCTTGCTTCCATTCAGCATTGGGTAGGCCTTCAAAGTGCTTTGCAGCACCTCTTCGGGAAATGACCCGTGATGTTCCTCAAACCTGTCCCCCTGCAACAAGGTGGCACAGACAAGATGGTCGGTGAAGTTGAAGCGCTCCCTGGTGTGTCTCAGAATGGTGTTGCAGATCTACAGAGAGAATACAAAAACAGAGAGAAAAAGTAGATATTAAATTAATTTACATTTGTTGGCATTGTTACCCTCTGTTGCTGCATAGTTTTGAAAAAACATCTTGCTATTATTGACAACTGCAATTGTGATATGGTTTTTTAATATTTTCATTAAACATTTAGGTTAATTGTGATTAGGAGATGAACTAAATCATCTCTGTAACATGACATATTTAAAATGGTATTTAAATAGCTATTTCATAAACTATGACAGATTTCTACAACATAAACTCACCTCTTCTGCAGCACTCTGACGATCCTCGGAACTGAGTACCCGACGCCGTTTTGCTGTCAGAGAGCCACTGCTTTTTGCTCACTCATGGAATGGAGAGAATTTCTGTGAAGAAGAAGAATAATGATCAAAAAGTTGAAAAGAGATAACAATTAAAAATGTGATGATTATATTATTGACATATTACCTGATGTTTTGTATGTCCTGTTCGAACTGCTGGATGCTCCCTTTGATGTGGACTGCATCTATGTTCTTCTTCTGGAGCTTGGCATAGAGGAGGTCCACAAGTGGCATGATGTGGTGAAAAATTTCAAGGAAGAACTTAAAGTCCTGATGTTCCAGCAGCATGGCCATGGCTCCTGCCTCTCTGATGGTGTTGGAGTCAAAGTCACCCGAATCTCGTATGTTCTCAAAACATTGAATGAGATCATCTTTCTGCGCAAACACAGTGTTGATGGCTCGGCTGTGAAAGTTCCATCGGACATTGCTGGATGTTGGCAGTCTACGGGCCACCGTTTTATCAAGGACAGCCCTACGCTTGGGTGACCTGGAAAAAAAGCTCGCAAATCTACCCAGGTCAGAAAAAAAAATTCTCACCTTGAAAATGTGAGAAGTGGCCTGTTGCATGATCAGGTTGAGTTGGTGTGCATAGCAGTGCATTTGGGTACACATCTTTGATCTTCCTCTGAACACCTGCATTGGCACCCCTCATCACACTGGCTCCATCATACACCTGGCAGATTAGCTTGCTTTTCTGATCCTCAGGAATGATGGCAGCAAGACGCTCTGATAATGCAGCAGCAATGGACTCAGATGTAGCTGACTGCAGAGGAATGAACTCAAAAAATCTTTCCTGCACACTGTGCTTGTCATCAATGTAGCGTAGTACACGCACAAGTTGGGACTGTGTTGAAATATCGATTTTTTGTCACCTCTTCATTGTGCCTTCTAATGCCAACTCTGTAGCCCTCGTCTAATTGTTCAGCAATGCTAACGCGGCCAAAAAACTGTAGCTTCATACTGTTGTCAATGTGGCAACGGCTACTTTCATGCCGTTTGCATTTTTCAGAGAGATGTTTCAGGTCTCTGACACGGAAGTGTTGTCCACAACACTTCCGTACCAACACTTTGAAAAAGCAAGCAGGGAAAGCAAAAAAGAGCATTGCTTACTTCGCATCCAGCGAGCCAACTGTGTTTAGCATAACACAGACCGGAGAAGCCTCAGGTGTAACTTCGCCCACTGTCACTTGCCTGCTGCTGGATCTGTAAGCCGGGTTTCTCGGGTCCAAGCTCCTTAATCCTTGTTTTTTCCTCCAGCGAACGTCTCGTGAAAGGATTGAGTTGTAAAGAAACAACCAAATTTTCTTTGGCCATGTCTGCTGTTTTGTTGTACGTCTGTCTCGCTTCTTTGCCTCCATAAACCCGCGTGCGGGAGTGTCTATGTTGGAGTGACAAGCGCGTTGCCAGTGACTTTGACTGACAGCCAGGTATCATGAATCAATCAGATTGCAAGAAAAATTAGCCAAGCGCGCTGATTCGCCAGGGACGCAGCTCTCTGCGCCCCGAGGAGAATCTGTAAGTGACCAATTAGAGACCAGCATGAAGTCACATGGTAGCCGCAAGTTTGGAAGATACATACACACTCATTTGGCCGGCGCCCCTTGATATTAAAAACTAAGAAAACAACCCAAAATAAATCCGATATGGAATGGAAAGGCTTACAAAAATAAAAGTAAGAACCATTGTATGAGTGAACACTGAACAGATGTGGTAATGACTTTTTATTACATAATTTATGTTTACTGTGTGTATTAATTCTTTATGAAATTTTGATGAGGGCGGCGCCCGAGCGCCCCCTATTGACAAGCCGCCACTGGTTAATAATGATATTCACATAAATACTACATTCAACGTTATCATCCTCATTTATATGTCAAACACTACACCAATAAGGGGATTAAAAGAAGATTTACTTGCCAAAAGTTCGAGGAGCATCGAGAGCATAGACTGGTCGAGAGGTTCTGTCCATGATTAATCACGCAGCAATAATGTGTCCGGATATGACGTTACTGTCAATATAACAAGTGTGTGCGATACCCAAATAAAAAAAATAAAAAAGAGATACCCAAATTCTTAAAATGTTTAACATAACTGTATAAACCAAATATATGCACAGCATAAACGAAGCCAAAAGGATAGACACCATTCTCAGTCAGTTCTGTGCATTTTCAAAAGAGTATGATGACGTCATCGTCTAAAAATGCAATTATTAATATCTTAAAAACGATAACAGCACAAACGTACATTTTACAGCACAAACCAGCACAAACGAATGACACTATTTTTGTCCATTTTGGAGCATTTTTTAGCTCAATGAGGGGCTGGGTGACCTCAGATTGACCTATAAAAGAATCCTCAATATCTCAAAAACAATAACAGCACAAACAAAATTTTTTACAGCACAAACGATTTACATTTTTTGAGTATGATGGGGGGCCAGGTTCCTTGTTAATCCACACACGTGTATTTGGCGCAGCGCATCATGGGAGATAATCCACTGCGCAGAACCGGGAGGACCAGACGATGCCCAAATACAGGCGAGTTTCCCATAGATCTTTGAGAATTCCACTGATATGTCAGCGACCGTGCCGGCACAAAGCGCCACTGACCACAACCATTCATTTGATTACGGCGCCATCTTGCATCGCCGGGGCTTGGTCTCAGGCGGCAGCGAAAGCAATCAAAGATGGCGGATATGAAGTCCGAGATTTAAAAAAAAAAGTTTAAATACGAACAAATTAAGACACGGATGTTACTTTTAATGCAATATGAGGCGAGATGTTGATGGTTCCATGTTGTTATATGCGTGTTTTAAGAGTCAAATGTTTGTGTAACGTTTGGTTTAAGTGTTCCTGTTTACAACACTACACAGCAGGGTTGCCAGGTTGGATGGTTTCCCATATACTTTTTTCCAAGAAACTTCTAGTTAATAAATAAACAGAAGGACAATGGGCTCTATGCACGCACCACTTCCGCATTTTAGTAATAACCCCACTTGACTTTCTGTGCGTCGGGAACGGCTTGAGTTTCACTGGAGTTCAGCTAGCCTGATTGTACCACACCTTAGTACAAATTTCATTTCATACTAAGGTCTGGATTTGCTCCATTGAGCTCAGTGAACAGGTGGGAGGGGTCAACTCCTTTTGCAGATTGAAACGATTGGATCTGAGTTTACTGTGACGTATGTAATGTGCCCGAGTGTGTTGTTAGCATTTAGCCTAGCCATCTCCTTTGCCACTAATGGAGCCCGTGGGGAGTAGCGCCACAATCTTGACCAGCGATTACATTTGCTAAACATTCCTCCTGCTCCTGTTTCAATTTCTTGATAGAACCAGACCGGATTACTTTATTATCGCATTCTTCACCACTGCCAAACTACAACCTGCCCGTTCGGCGCAAACTCTTGGCGTCACCGGCACCGACCTACAACACCCGCCTTCCGCGCCGGTCGAAATACGGCCGATTGTATTCGCTAACACAGGGACCAGACCCAGATGCTACATGCAGTGAAATGATGATTGAGCGGAGTGTACGGATGGCTATGGCCAGGCGTGAGTTCAGCAGATGTTTACACGAGTTTACTAAATAATGCTCAAACTGGAATTATACTAATAATATACTAAAATATGAGGACACAGCAGTACTTTTTGATTGTGCTGTTATTGTGCTTTTATAAAGTTAACTAATCTCTGAGTGGCCACAGTCAAAGCTCTACCTCAGAGAGAAAGCACTTTGACACTTTTGGGTCAGTCTCACAGCTGAATGTATCGATCTAATTACTAAAAAATTACTAAAAGCCATAGGATATGAAGTCAATAATTCCCTTGACTGACGTGTTCGAGTTGATGCAGAGGCATGACAACAGATCTCCAAGTTTTAACATCTGTATTTAATTATCTTTACAATCAGATACAGAAATTCCAACAAAGAGGGCTCCTAAAACTATGCATGTCCCTCTCTGGCCCTCTGCTGATTCTTCTGTTTCTGCCCAAGCCAGAGCCTTATTAGTCGATGTTCAGGGAGCAGGGGGCGTGTCGTATCAGGGAGGTCTTGGGCCCAGGGTCCGATGACGTCACAGGTCTGGGACTGGTCTGGCCCCTGGTCCTGGTCTGGACCCGGTCTTGGTCTTCCATCTCCACCTGAGCAAACAATGCCCCCACCCCTGCGGCGCCTGATTGTGTTGGACTTTGCTCTCGCCCAAAGTGAGAGAGAGAGAGCCCTGCTTATACTTGGAGTCAATAATTGTCTAGTTTGTATACTATCTTGTGTCCTTGGGGTTTTTCCTGAGTGCACAGAGGTCTTTTTTGGCTATGATGTCCAAATGGTCAAATATTAAAATATACAACATTTTAATTATACAACAGATAGCATAGGCAGGAAGTGAACGGGCTGTGCTTTGTTAAAAGGAAATGACATCACGCCTCCCCGTACATATAGCCATAAACAGAATCATGATGGCCCAAGTTGATTACATTACGTTTCTAACCAAAAAATCATGCTGGGTATTATTTTTTTTTAGGCATTCTTGCAAATTTTGGGTTGAAAAATCTTGCCAGCATTTGGCAACCCATGGGAGTCGTGTGCTTCGATGTGAGTGGTTGAAGCGACACGTCATTCAAGATAACTGACAAGTGGTTTATCCAATCACATACAAGGATTTTTCTCAAAGGCCCCGCCTTCTGAAATTTATCTGCTATGAAGGAGTCCCAGACCCATGTGAGAAGCGCAGCAATCTACAAGAGTCTGGCGAGAGTTAGGCTACTCACAACAGAGTTCCCTCAGAATTGGGACGGGGCCAAAGACTTCTAGCATACTAATGTGACTAAATCAATGCTGAACATGTATCTATAAACGTTCATATTCATTCCTTCATATACACTATAATCTGTGACCACTATTTTTTTGTCGTAGTCTACAGAACATGAGCTTCCCAGAGGCTGACGGCCTGCGTGAGATTAATGACCTAGCCGCGTTTCCACCGCAGGAGTTCCTGGTAAAAGGAGCGGGGTGGTCCTCCTATTATCTATAATAATAACTGGATAGGGTATTACTAGCTTATAGCTGTCCGACCTATGGGCACCAGGGGCGGCTGTGGTACTGCAGACTAAATTCACATAGGCTTCCCAGAAAAAAGTCCCTTAGTATGGAAGCCCGTTTCCGCCATGTAAAAAAAAAAAAAGCCTACAGAAAGTCAAAATTACAACTTTAAAAGTCAAAATTACGAGTTTTCAACTGCGCATGTGCAGTTGAAAACTCGTATGTGTTGTTGTCTCAACGGTCTCTGGTCATCCCTCTTATAGATCCATGACCATGGGTCATCCTCTACCTGCAGATTATGTGAAGATTTTGCCTACAGACAGTGACCACTAACCTGGCAAGAGCCAGATTGATGATTGTGTAGAACTCTAATGCGTTCTCCACAATATCAATCTGGGACTTCTGCAGGAGAATCCTTTCGGGGAAAGGAGGGATAAGCAGCAGAATACTTCAAGCTGATTGGGCGAAGTGACGCTGTGTGCCCGCCTACCAAGGTTGCTGTCCAGAAATGCACAAAGCGCCTCTCGCTGTTCATCTTTCAAAAAAGAAATTGGAGATTCTGC